CACAATATTCTAATATTCTAAGATTGTGGATTTGGGATTTTCAGGAGCTGTAAACCATAATCATCACAATTATGACAAATCACGGCTTGAACTATCTTGCTTTGCATGTAATGAGTATCTCATATATTAGTTTCACCTTTTAAGTTGCATTACTGAAATAAATGAACTTTTACATAATATTCTAATTTTTTGAGTTTCACCTGTATTTTATGTCTCATTATTTGCATTCTCCCATTTCTATCTAGAGAAAGCTTTTTGACCTATTGGATGAATCTATATTTGACCCTGAAGAATTTTCTGACTAAGAGACAAGATTTGTAATGAGGCAAACTTTATTATGCATGACTTTGGAACCTAAACATTTCAGTCATTAATCTTGTTAATAATGTCGCAATAACTATAGTGCAATAGTTAACATTGCCCAGTTATAACTCTAAAAGTGCAAAATATACCAGCTCAGCAAATCACATGCTAGCAAGGTCATGCTCAATACCCTATAAGCTAGGCTTCAGCAATGTGAACTGAGGACTACCAGAGGTACAAGCTAGATTTCAAAGAGGCAAAAAATCTAAAGTGCCAACATTTGCTGGGTTATAGATAAATCAAGGGAATTCTAGAAAAACATCAACTTCTGCTTGATGTAGATCACAGCAAACTTTGACAGGTTCTTAAAGAAATGGGAGTACCAGACCACCTTACCTGCTGAGTTTGGTTGAAACTTAGTAGGTGGTGCAAATGAAGGGCAATAAGATCTTGGTTCTGTAGAATAGACCAGCTCAGGCTTTAATGGCCGTTTGATTAAGGTTGGGGAACTATTAAGAGTGAGTCTGTTTCCTGTCTAAAAACATGTTTCTCTGGCTCTGGCCTTAATGGCCCATTGACAAAAGTGGGGGCAATGAGTTTCTGCCTCCCTTTTAAGGGGGAGTATTCTGCCCTTTTTAATATTTCCTAAAATATTTAATTTTCACACAGAGAGATAGGTGCTAACTTCCTATAAGCTCTAAAACTGTTGATCTGATGTGTGTATATTTTGCTTATTTATGGTAGTTCTAGGTAAATAGACATCATACTATAGCAGTTAGCAAAATCCTGTTCAACTATTGCTCTGCATTCTTTTTCTTTTGGTGGTTGTTAAATCATCTCTGTAGAATTTAGATTTCTAAGTTTTTGAATTGAAAACAGAATATATATAGGTGCAATAATGCAACAATTATGTAGGGGTCCTGGGTGCTCTGAGCTTGCTTGTTTTATTGCATATGTTTTATTACCCAAACTAGGTAACATCATCGGTGCTAGAAAGGTTTGCTGTCAGTTTATATTCTGGTGGCTTGTCCTGTCAGTATTGGTAGGGGTGATCTTAGAGATTCTTTGATTGGACTGTTTACTGTTGGCTCTTTGGCAGTTTCTAGATTGGGGTATTGTTTACTTGATTTGGGGATAATCTTGATAATCTTGGTAATTAATCTATGGTGATCTGGGTACTGATTGCTGGTTGAGAGATGCTTGAGTTCTTTTTGTTCCCTTTTGGGCTGGTCTTTTGCAAAGTCTATAGATGTTGTTAATGTCTATGTGTCTATTGATGCCTAATTTGTCAGAGTGCCAGGCTTCTAGAAATTCCCTGGCATTTTTTGGACTTGACTGATTTAGGATTGTCACATTTTTCCAATTGAAACTACTAAAAATCTGTCTATATCTTGTGAAATAATTCTATTTGAGTATACCCTGACTTTGACTAAAACCAGACTGATTAGTTTCAAATCATTTTCGAGCACTATCTTCAGCTGGAAAAAAAATCTTTATGAGACAGTTTAAAATTAAATTAAATTAAAATTAAGTTTAATTGATTCTTATAATCAATAGTAAAGGGATTATTGTAATAGTAACAAGTTGTACTCAGTATATAGATTTGTTATTTTGAAAAAAAAACTCTAAACAAGCTCTTACACTTTCGCATAACTATATGCTGTAATGTATAGCACGTTTTCTTGGGATTATATTGTTGAAATATGAGATGCAAATAATTTTGGTATAAACCAATTTATTAGAAATGAGACTTGAATAAGCGTCCCACTTTTGACAGCAATCTTTAGTTGACCGTTAATGTTCCGTCAAAGCAGTTTCTGCATCTCTGGAAATAAAGCGCCACGTAGCAAAATTGTCTCCAAATGTTTTCGATGAGTATCTAAAAACATTTAAATGCGTTTTTGCATCACTCTCCTTCCTCCAGCGACAATAAATTTCCCCGCCAATACATTTTATGACTCGTTTTGCTTTCTCCCTCTTGGAAGTGGTTCAGTGTGGTGCAATTAATAGCATCTCCTTCCGCGTTTAGGCCACACGCCACAATTTTCAGGTGGTCCCCTAATGCAGAGTAGATCGTCCCACTATACCCTATAAGCAAAGAAAAACCAATCAATACCGGCTAGGATTGTATTTTTCTAAGGCAACGTTTTCATTTGTTGCAGAAGATGGACTACTTTTCTCCGCTCTCTTTTTGCCGTCAGTCTTCCCCGCCTCCCCTCGGCCAGCTGACGTCACAGTCGTGTGAGGTTTCACGGCAATAATGGCAGCAACGGGACTGGAAGAGATGAATCTCAGGCGCAGCGGTTAGGGTGGCGCGCACACCAAAGCGCGCGCGTGCCCGCCGGATCGCTGTCCCTAAGAACTGAGGGGGAGGGGAGCGCTAGCAGGTTTATGTCGAGCCAGGCCTGGGCCGCCGCGCCAGACAGAGCGCTGAGTCTTAATCTCGATCTGGCGACAGCGGCCGCTACGGAAATGGCCGAGTTGTCGAAGGCCTCCAATTCTGCCTTGGCCGCTGGCGGTCTCTCTATGTCGCTGATTGAATCAGGTAAAACAAAAAGTGAGCGCTGTCGCGAAAGGGGACGGGAAAATATGTGAGGTGGACGAGCCCAGCCTCTCAACTCCCCTCACCTCCGACGCCGCCATCTTACTCGTGATCCTGATTATGAATTACAGTCACCTAAGGGGATCTCCCACCCCCTCCCCTCCCTCCAACTGAGCTCAGCTCTGAATTCATCTCTCTCTCTCTCCCGCAGAACTGTATTTCCTCATAGCTCGCTTCTTGGGCGCTGGGCCTTGTAGAAAAGCAGCCGAGGTGAGTTCCGAATCGGCGCCGTACTTCTCGGCTACTCCGAGTAAAAATTCAGAATGCCCCTCTCGCTTCGGCCAACTGGCGGCGTCTTGATTTTAAAGATGTGGTTCTTCCTTTCCCTACAGGTGTTGGTGCGAGAACTGGAACAATATCAGGTCTGCTTGACTTGTTTTAAAATTCTACTTTTCTTTTTTGATACTCAAGTTTTGCTCATAGTTCTTGTTTTTATTTGTGGACATGTCTTTTTCAAGACATTAGTCCAAGAATCCATTGTAACTTCTTTTTCATGTTCCCCCTCTCCCCGCTTTGAACTTTAGTTGCTTCCTAAACGATTGGATTGGGAAGGAAAGGAGCATTACAGACGTTATGAAGACCTGGTGAGATTTAGTGTACAAATGAACTATACAAGCCCATCTAAGATCATCATTATTCTATTAATCATCCTATTTACTGTGATGTATTAATTATTTTGCCAGACAACAAAAACCATAAATGGGACTGCAAACTGTGAATGTTGTCATCACAATGGAGGCGGGGTTTGTGAGACTGTCTCACACACAGGATGAGTTGTGAAAAAACAGCCTTGTTGCTTTTGCCTCCCTGTCTTTCAAAATGAGAAAATATGAAGAGATATTTTTTTCTTAACTAATTTTAGTTTAACAGAGATTGTTGTTTCTGGTTACCTTAAATTTCTCTGCTTTTGAAGATATATTTATTTTCACTCATAACCTGGATCATTCTGTATTTTGTTTGTACTGAAGAAGATTTTTTATTTTTGTTTTAAGAATGCTGCTTAGTAGTCGTGGGGAGCTGATTTTAGGGCTTTCAGGGAGAAAGGGATTCTTAGTGAGTTCATTGAAGCCTAAGATCCTTATCCTTATTTTCTATCTCTCCATTACTTTCCTCCAAATGATGCATAGTTTAAATATTCTTCACAGTATGTTCTCTTAAGAAATCCTGTTTTTAAAGCAAATTCCATTGATAAATAAGTTTCATTTATTTCTTGAAGTTATGAGACTTCTTTAAAATGATGAAACTTTAAAAATATTAGAATTTAAATTTTTTTTGTCTATAGGATTTCCAATGAAAAATACAGTACATAAAATTGAACTGCCAGGTTTTAGTAATTTATAATTAGAAATGTGTTTCTGACATTAGTGAGATTGCTCATTTGGTTCCATGCATTTATCTTCAGAAATATATAATTGTTCTACATTAATGTAGTAGCTTCTATCCTGAATTTTCTTCTTGTATCTCTCTCTTACTCTAACTATTATAGTAGATGAAAGTTTCAGAAGTAATAAATTCAGTAGTTGATTTGTTTTATAACAAATGATTCTCTGGATACTAGACATTTTATACTTAAATTGTTTCAAAACCAAATCAATGTATTTAACTTTCATGTTGATCTGAAAAGCAAAATAAGGTGCACACTTTAAGGTGCTTTATTGCAGCAAGTGATACTCCAGATAGGAAAACATATTTGTCATATGAAGTAAAAATTACTAAATGAAAATGTTTTTAAAAATAAAATAGTTTTGATCAGAAAGATATTAAAGGAAGTGATGAAAGAGATTTAATAGATAGCAGCACAAAAAAAGTTTTCTGCTCTTGAAGAGGTGTCCTCGGGATGTTCAGATTTAGGGCAAATTATAGTGGTGTATGATTGTCTTGATTTTATGAAGATAGGATAGTGAAAAACAGTGACTGTTGGCTTCTGGTATTATGTTCCTATTATACATTATGAGTATTTTTGATAGAAGGCAATTAACTAATTAATTTGATGTTATTATTTTGTTTAATTGTAGCTAAACTAAAGTATCTTTTGGGGAGAGGGAGAAATAATATAAATAGTAAAATGAGGGTGTTTTTTAAAAAGGCTAAATTATGTGCTATCAAGTATTTTCAATAAGGAAGGGATAAATAATTGTTTCTAAAATATTTAGATTATGTAAGCATCTTAAGTTATATTAACTTAAATTTTAATTTTAGTTTTATTTGCATGTTAGGTATTATCTAACAAACATGTGGCTCCAGACCATTTGTTACAAATTTGTAAGCGAATCGGTCCTCTATTGGATAAGGAGATTCCACCCAGCATTCCAAGAGTGAATTCATTGTTGGGTGCTGGGAAACAGTCCCTGCTGCGAACAGCAAAAGGTATATTTAAATTTTGTATATTACATCATTAAATTCTAATGAAATATGTCTGAGCTTAGTATATACAAAAGTGCACATCTTAGTTTTCCAAATTAGGATGACTGTCCTTAACCATTTAGTGAAAACTGCTTGAACATACTCAGTTCTTTTGAAGATACAGTACATTTCTTTATATTGCTTTGTTTTATTTCATAGTGTTGAAGCATAGAAAATGATAGAGACCATATAGCCAGAGTTCCCTAAGTTGTTGTGATAATTATTCATTATAGTGCTTTTTAGAAAAATAATTTGTTTATTTAAATAACATTTATTTAATGATACTTATATACATATATATGTATGTATATGTATGTATATATATATATATGTTATATTTGTGCTGATAAATAAATAAATAAAGGGAGACTAGTATAGATCTATTTCAAGCTATTTAGCTCTTATCAGCTAGCCATACCCTTACTGGGAATCGTGACTTTAAATATATAATATATAAAATATAATATAATATAATATATAATATAATATAATATAATATAATATAATATTATATATATATATATATATATAGCCTTAGCTTAACAAACTGTAAATATATAGAGTTTTTCAGTTTCTTAACTGCTTCTCTCTCTTCCTTGCTGATTCATACAGGTGTTCTTTATCCAAACTTGAACAACCTTGAGCCTTTAGAGGTTGTCTTCTTGGCTTGTTTTAGCTTAGAGACAAGACTGAGCACAGAGTACAATAACTTTTTTCCACTTAATACCTGTCTTGGGACTCTTAACACCTGTTCTTGCTGATATCTGGTTATCTTTCTAAATACTGTGGTATTTTCCACCAGCCTCTCTATTCTTCATCTGTCTTTTAATCTGCTTTGTTACTTCTTAGTCCTTGGCTGTACAGGTAGTCCTCAACTTACAATCATAATTGAGCCTGAAATTTCTAAGTGAGTTTTTCCCCATTTTAAGACACTTCTTGCCACATTTGTTAAATGAATAATTGCATTCTTAAATTAGTAACACAGTTATTAAGTGAATCTGGTTTCTCCATTGAGTTTGCTTGTTAGAAGATCGCAAAAGGGGATCGTAAGACTCTGGGACACTGCAACCGTCATAAATGTGAGACAGTTGTCAGGCATCCAAATGTAAATCACATGACCATGCGGCTGTTGCAATGGTCATAAGTGTGAAAAATGTCACTTTTTCAGTGCTGTGGTAACTTTGAACAGTCACTAAATGTACTGTTGTAAGTTGAGGACTATCTGTAATACCTCCAGACTATGCAGCCCAAGGACAACAGCAGCTATCTAGTGTACACCAATGACCTCCTTCACTGACTAACACTTTCACTGTTTTATGTATTTCCATCAAAAAGCAGATGCATATGCTCTCATATCATTCTGGGGCTTTTGACAATACCTTATAGTGCCATGAAAAAAGTCAGTAGTAGTAGTTGAATCATTTTAGTTCAATAGAAAAAATGTATCAAGTATATTATTTTGCTTTCTTGTGAATTATTACTATTTAAGGCATAGTGAAGTGGGACTTTAAACCATGGTTAGATTGAAAACAACAGCATAATCATGTGCAAATACTTTCTTCTGTCTGGCTTGGTTGGATCTCAGTTAACACTAACATAATCGCTAGAACATCTCATCCAAAATTAAAAGCCATTCACCAGAAGAACTAACAGAACGAGCATACAACAATAATACGTGTGCATCAAACATATTAGTACAGTGGCGGTTCCATGTAATGTTCTCAGTCGTTCCTTCTTGAATTCTCTCCTGGCTCAGACAGTCTCTCATATGACTCCCCTACACAAAATAACTGTCCCCTTTTTCCATGTTGTCTTCATTGAGTTCTCAGAGAAACTTGGGTAGGTGGAAGCAAAGCCAGTTCAAAGGAATCCTCCACCCTCATATCTGAAGGCCTGTTAGAGCAGGTAGTTGCTATCTGGAAACATTAAATGATTAGCATGTCTTTCCCTCCTCTCCCTTGGGAAGTGAAGGTCTCATCAACCACTATGTCTCCTCCTCCTAGAGCCAAGGTGGCACAGTGGTTAAATGCAGCACTGCAAGCTACTGCTAGATCAGCAGTTCAGCGGTTCAAATCCCACCGGCTCAGGGTTGACTCAGCCTTCCATCCTTCCGAGGTGGGTAAAATGAGGACCCAGATTGTTGGGGGCAATATGCTGACTCTCTGTAAACCGCTTAGAGAGGCCTGAAAGCCCTATGAAGCGGTATATAAGTCTACTGCTATTGCTATTGCTCCCCCCACCTCCCCAGAGGTGTCCATTCTGTTTGGTAACCTCTTCATTTACAGATTCCATGGGTGGTTCTAATGCAGGGTAGGAAGCTGGGAGTTTGGAAGGCTGTGGCTTTTCTGGGAAATGCTGATGGAATTGTCACACCAAGTCATGTGTATGTCCATATCTGGCATTTCCTCAGAACCTTCGGATTCTAGGTAGTCCTTCCAATTGATCAAATGATGCCTTTGTCCCTTTGTTCTAGATTAGAGTCCAAAATTTCTTCGACTTCATATTCTTCCTCAGCATGTACAATCACTGGTGGAGGCAATCTGTGCTGAGAGTGCATAGGGCTAAGAGGGCCTTTGATTAGCAATGAACAGTGAAAAACTGGGTGGACTTACGTTTCTTAGAAGGCCTAGTAGAAATCAGAAATTTGGTATCCTGTTGACAGCCCTTCCTGCTAATGGGTGTCCACAGCCTTGTTAAGACTGTTTAGATTGTTCAAGCTGCATGTTTCAGTAGGGTTTGGACAGCCAATTGTTCTTGCAAAAAATCTACCGCTGCTGGATGGAGCCTTCAGTGTCTTCAGTAAAACCCTCAGGTGTCTGCTATGCAAAGTTTGAAAGGGAGTCATAACAATCAATGTGTGCAGATTATTCTATGAAAACTCTGTGAGGGGAATACAATAAATCTCTTTGATATATCAGGATGTTGAAGAAGGAGCTATTGTGCAAAAAACTGTTTTAACTCTTCAAACACTGTCTGTGTGCTCATCCAAGCAAATTACACTCCCTTTTTTAATAACTAAGATAGAGGTTTAACCTTATGAGGAAATCTAGGAATAAACTTTCTGTAAAAGTTCACAAAGCCTACAAAACTCTACATATTTGTATTATGGGGAGCCTGACTTGAGAACACTTTGTGCACTTTCTGGGGATCCATTTGGATTCCATCTGTGAAAATGTGGTAACTGAAGAAATCTAACTTGCAAGTCAAACACATACTTCTTTAATTTAGCAAAGAGGTACTTTTCCCTCAGCCTTCTTAAGACTTCACACACATGATGGTCATAGAGTTTCTTATCTTCTGAATAGATTAGGAGATCAGCCATATAAATTACTATAAAAATGACAATTTTATCAGAAAAAAATGTGTCATAAATCTAGAAAGCACAGTTCTACAATTTACTAACCCAAACGGCACATAATCAAATTTGTCATATTTGTTTTGAACACTCAAAAATCCAGACCCCTTCTTGATTCTTGATAAGATTACTGTATATTTTGGAGGTCTAGTATGCACACATTTTTCAATCTAAGTCCGGTATCAGTAGTAAAGATCTCTTATTGTAATCACAGTAAGGGCTTTGTAGTCATGCATGGTGCTGATTCAAACCTCATTAATTGTAGAGAACTTGGGTCTTATTTCTATAGGACAAAGAGTAGGCGCCAAAGCTGGCAATTTTAAAGGTCTAATAAAATCTTTTTTGCAGATTAGAATCCAAACACTGTTTCAAAATTGACAAATCTTTTTCTGACATGCGATGTTGTCTCTTAGCAGAGATTTTAGCCCCGGGACCAAATCAGTTGCACAATCACTGTCTATGTGGGGAAAGGACTAATGGTTCCTCTTCCCCCAAAACAAATACAAAGTCTGTGTACTTAGTCGGTAATTTTGCCACTTCGTCCTTGGAATTTTCTTTTGTCTGTGGCAAAGGGGAAGTTGCTTGCACATGATGGAATTGGTAATGCAGCTGGGATGTGAGGGTGGTGCATGACATTAAGGGGCAATTCTTCTGCATGTTTTGCTATTGTTAGCTACAGTTATTGCTAAATCTATAAAATTGCATTTCTTCTTGCCCATGAGGTAACAGTAATAGTCAAAGTAATAGAATTTTTCAGCAAAATACCTTGATTCAGATAGAATCAAGGTGATTGACACTCACATGTCATTTTCCAAGCCTGGACTCTGTGCTCAGGTCAGTGTTCTCTCACACCCTGGCTAGATGATCTTTCTTCTCTTCGAGGGCCTTTGGTTGGGCAGGTTCTTACCAAGTTCTCTGAAATAAAAGCAGAGTGCTAGGTCTCCACACCTCTGCCTTTCTTCAGCTGCTGTTCTCCTTGCCACCTTTACTTCTGTGGGTTCCTCTTCTCCCAACTCAGTCCCTGCCAGCATGAGTGGCAAGAAGGCTGAATAGTAAGATTTTGAGCTCAGTTCTTTCTGAATTTCTTCTAGGCATCAAATTTCTCCCAGGAATGCATTAATTATCATACAAAACTGGTAACATGGTCTAAATTCTAGGGAACTTCTTGTCTTATCAGCTTGGTGGTGATTTTAGCCTTTAGCCTTTGTCTATACTGAGGAGTTAGGGCTACTTTGTTCTACTCCAGATCTGTGGATTTAATTTGAATTCAGCTACATACAGCCTGACCCTTCTATTACTCTGTTTAAGCTGGTGGATCTGTACAGTAGCTGCCACTCTGATTGGATCTCCAAAATGATCTTTGAAGTTGTCCATGAAGTTCTGATAATTATCCATAATTGGGCCATTCTTTTTTGGTGATTTTTGGGAGGTACTGGCACTCTTTAACAGATTCAAGATGAAGAATACCCTTGAGAGTCAGTTGAAAGTTCCGCCACTCAATAACACACTGTGGAGCCAGAGCAACCGGAGTTGCTGGCTGTATCAGATTTTGCACCTATTCACCTGAAGTACTGCTCTCAAATTGTATACTTCATTCTCTGTCCTATCCTGTTGTCATAGCACAGAATCCATTTTTTCTTCATTTGCTGCTGCTCTCACTTGGGCATCAGTTGTCATCCAGTTGTTGCTCTCTAGGAGAAAAGTTGATGTGTCTGAGAAGATTAATGTCAGATCCGGATAACCACATCTACAGATGCAGAGTTCAATTAGCTATTTTATTGTTCAAGCCTAATACAGAGGAATCTTCTCAGATTGCCCTCTTGTGCCCACGTAGAGATTCCAGACTAATTTCCCTTTTGATTCCTCCCCCTGGCTTGACCAGTCTCTCAATAGCCAAGTTAATTTATAGCTAAACAAAACTTTGATGGTATTTTATAAGTGTTTCTTTCTATTTTTGCTGCTATTCCTATTATAAGCATCCTGTTTTTCTTCAGCCTCTTATACCAGAAATGTAATTTTCTTTCAATTCATTTTCACATGCATGACTTTCTCCTAAGAAGCAGTTAAAGACTGACAGTTGTTTTCACGCAATGGAAAATGCTAATATGTAACAGGGGAAATACAATTTAAAAATTAAGATAGAGTATTGAAAGACATAAAATTACTCAAGTGGATCTTGCTACTAAACAGGAGTTCAATCTTGGAATTGAGTTAAATCTTGTAAATATCTGCAGTCTTTTATAATGTCTTGACAAATTTATTAAGCACAATCATAATGATTACCATAAAATATTTTCCCCATGAGCTTAGCAGTCTTTTAGTCACCAAGAAAGGTTGTTGATTCAAATGTGAAAATACTGTGTTAAGTAGGCTGTTTTTAAAGAAAATTCAATTTGAAATACATTTTAAATTTTGTCCCTATGTTACATACATTTTTAAATTCACAAAATCCTCATATGACATATAGAATGTTTTATATGTGAAAAGGTACATTATTGCAAAGCTCTGAAGACATTTTTGAAATGAACTTATCTCTTTGGTGATTGCACTTGAACAGTATTCTTAACAGGATAATATATGACATTATCTTTTTTCAGGATATTTTTAATGTTCTGATTTAGCTAGAATCCTAATGTTACTTTTTGTACAACTAAAATACACTTTTGCAGATTGCAAATATACAAATTGGAAAGGCTCAGGTATTGCTGCTCTCCATAGAGGAAGACCACCTGAAATACCTATTAACTGTGGCAGAAAACCAAGTCTAGGTAAGTGAATGTTTTTTTCTCTTAATATCCTATGCTCACACATTTTTTTTACTTCTGCTAAAAATGTATGCTGTTTATCTTACTGAAATGTATTATTTAATGCAATTGCAATGATTAGAATCAAAATATTAGCAGTACACTTGATAGGAATAATCTTAAATTAAAAATTGCTGCAAAAATGTACAAAAATGCTGCATGTTTTGTACTTTCACCTTATCTGTTAACTTCTCTGTTAATACTTGCTCTGAAACCTCAACCCAACAAAATTTTGTATTTAATTAATCCCTTGCCTTTAAAACAAACACATTTTCAACTTAGAGTTATTATAGCTATCTAGAAAGGAGAGAATAAACAGTTTCAAGCTAGATAGAAGATGTAACCTGTTAATAAGTGAACTTCATTTTTTCCATATTAGTTATTGCAGCATAAATAACCATTGATCAGAAATCCTATATAATCTGAGTGATTATCCTTTCCCTTTAAAAATTACATAATCTTAACATTTTTTCCTATTTTAGTGGAATTAAATTATGCAAAACAATTGACTGGATGTACACGATACAGTTGTTCATTCCCAGAAAATATGTACCAACATATAAAGATGCATAGACGGATTCTTGGTCATCTTTCTGCAGTCTATTGTGTAGCATTTGATAGGACTGGACATAGGATATTCACTGTGAGTTTATTTATTTCTTTGATAGAAGTATATGATTTGCCTGATAGATATGGAGTTCTGGATGACTAACAAATACAATAAAATTATTATTAAAAGCAATCAAAAACATGCATATGTGCATAGAGCAAAATGAGTTCACCTAATATCTGGATCCTATAATTGGTGAAAAAGCTGGGTTTTTAATGGCTTCTGAAAAGCCAGCAAAGTCAATATCATCCAAATCATGGGGGTTCTGATTTTCTCCTGGATCCCATTAGATAGCATTGTTTCATTGAGGGAGCTTAGAGCATATCCACCCAATTGGACATCATAGGATAAGCAGAGATAATTAGAAACAGGTTTATTGTTTATTGTTGAAGTTGTATGTTTGGAATTTAATAGAAAATGAAGAAACATGAACTTTAACAATTCATATTAAGTAAAAGTAAATATTGAAATCTGGCCTAGATGGAATTTGGTATTTTATTTTACACAGATTATGGTGAAATATAAATTTTCTGGTAAAGTGACTTAAACAAATATGTTAAAGACTACAATATTTCAGTGAAACAGGAAATATGCCAGGTATCAGAATTTGTATTGGTGGATACTGGGATAGGAAGAAAGCTTCCATAATCATCTTGACTGAAATCCAGATCTGTCAAATCCTTTTAGAGTAAAGTCACTCATTTTCATTAATATCATGAAATCTTGATTTAAATGTGTTCCTGTTTAACTAACTTTGGAAAAGGCTCACCATTGATTTTTGAAGTCTGTTCAGACAAATGAGGCAATTTACACCAATGAATGTAATTTGTTTAATAATAATATATTTATTTTAATATGCATATTTCTGTAATTTGTTAATACAAATTACAAAAACATAAATTTTGTAATTTTATTAATTACATCAATTGTGCAATTTCAGATTTAACAAACATTCGGTTTTATTGGACATCTTTTCTTGAAATGATCCATTACAGGGAGGTTTTACTGCTTATACTGTACCTGGTACAAGAAGCCAGGTTCTGTATGTCCATTCTCAAACCTAAACTGCTTGAGAGCCATAGGATTCAAAGCATGATTGTTAATTTCACCAAGTCCTATTTAAAAGATAATTTGCTACATTTATTTTATAGCTCATTATGAAACATAATTAATTTGTATGGTGATAAAATAGTAGCTGTGAATAGAACATTCTATCGTTGCAAGCTTCTCTTCTATTAAGAAATGCTTTTGCTTTCAGATTAACATTCCTTAAGAAATCAAAATAAGGCAGAGCTAAGGAAACAATAGAAGTGAGAATAATTGTAAAAAAGTTAAAAATATTTTATCAGGAAATATATTTGTGCTAAGTTAAATATCACTTAATGGCAATATATTGATCCATTAGTTACTTTCTTTGTCTATTTATTTGGTATATCAGTCTATTAAACCTAAATTGTAATCAGGGTAGACTACTACAGACTGTAAATTAAGTTTACATTTTGATCTATATCATGCAAAATTTATGCCACCATTTAAATAGAGCTAAATTATAAATGGTAATGTAAAAACCACAGTGTTGTATTCACAAACATTTTGAACTTGAAGAGAACACTTTAAGGCTTAGCACAGCGATGGCGAACCTTTTTTGGCTCACATGCCATAAGTGGGGGGAGTGCGGGGGGGGCGTGGGCGGGTGTGCTACACCCATAATGCAATGCATGACCCCCCCAGTGTGCATACGCGCACTACAGCCCCCCCTTTTTTGCATGATTTTTTCGCCCTCCCCAGGCTTCAGAGGCTTTATAGGAGCCTAGGGAGGGAGAAAACAACCTCCCCCGTCCCCCAGAAGCCCTCTGGAGGCTTCCCTAAAGTCACTTCCAGTTTGCTCAGAGGGTCGTTTTGAGCGCTCCGAAGGCTTCAGAGACCTTTAGGAGGCTTCCCTGAAGCCTTCGGAGCAGTGCCCTGACAAATTGCTCCGTGTGCCACCTGTGGCATGTGTGCCATAGGTTCGCCCTCACTGGCTTAGCATAATGTGTGGGCCAAATCAGTAGGTGTTCATTTTATCTATTACTCAGATGTGTTAACTCATTTCAGAACAGTTTTAGATGTAGAATATTACAAATTGTTATATTAAACTGCATTTGAGAATCTATATATACTCCTGTAACACATGTAAATTTAAATGATGATTAGATGCTAATTAACTTTTGTTTTTATTCAGGGATCAGATGACTGCTTGGTAAAAATTTGGTGCACACATAATGGTCGGTTATTAGCTACCCTAAGAGGCCATTCAGCAGAGATCTCTGATATGGCTGTGAACTTTGAGAACACAATGATTGCAGCTGGTAGTTGTGATAAAATTATCAGAGTTTGGTGTCTTAGAACATGTGCCCCAATTGCTGTTTTGCAAGGTCACACAGGATCAATTACATCTTTACAAGTAAATTCTTATTTATTTATATATGCTTGTTAATGCATGTTGACAAACTATTTTTAAAATTGCTTTTTATACCATAGTACATTTTGGGATCTTTACTTTGTGGGTTTCTAAATTGGTAATTATCAGAAAGTTGCAGTTGTATAATTAATAATCTGTGAAAATGATGTGATTCCTTGTTACATGTTTAATTTGATTGAGGTCATAGTATTTGCAAATTTCTAAAATAACATTTATAGACTACCAAATCCATTAAAGTAAGACAGAAAATTTGGTCTAATGGTTAAAATATCAGGTTCGAGAGCAGGCGACCGTATGTTCTGGTGTCGTCATGTCCAGTCACTCATTCAACCCAATTCATCTGACAAGATGGTTGTTGGGGAGAAAATAGGAGGAGGATTAGGTATGTTTGCTGCCCAGTTTGGAACATCTGAATTGGCTGATTTTCTCCTAAACATTTTGCATTATTTATTTGAATAAAAATCTGCTTATTGAAAATGCTGGTGATAAAATTCTATTCTCTTACTGCACCTCTATTGTGATACCTCAGATATGCTCTAGAATATTTGATTCTCTAAATAGTTTTTGAGAGTCTTCATAGGATAAGAAGGAAACCATTTCCTAGTCCCCAGCTAGGTTGGTAAAAATCATTGTATCATTAGAAATTAAACATTGATTTCACTCTGTTAGATAAGAACATGTAGCATAGTTTTGGACAAATGAAGCAGCTACAGTGTTACAGACTGTCATGAGATAGAACTTTAAATTTAATTATCTAGTATTATACAAAACTAAAATCAGAATGTGAAAGCCTCGACAGTTGTATACTGAACATATTTTATTTGTAAATCACATTTGCTGTAGTGTGTTAATAAATTATATCACTTGGTGCTATATTTTATTTTTACTTTTGATTGTTTTTAGAGATAGTGTGCAAACTATTTAGTTAAGGAATTAATCATGGAAATTTTTACATTGAAAGAAATGCTGGGATTTCTAGCATTTTTTCAAAACTGTCTGTCTATTTATAACACACTATAACTGGTTATTTTACAGTTCAGCCCGTTAGTCAAAGGTTCAATAAGATACATGGCGTCCACAGGTGTAGATGGAACAGTATGCTTTTGGCAGTGGGATACCATATCCATGAAATTTAAGTATGTATCTTTCTATGTTACTGATTAATTTTTTTTTGATAAATAGTATGTTTAGTTTGTCAGAGTTATTTTTACATTTCAATAAGAAAATGATTTTTTATTACAGAGTATAAAAAAAGAATCATTGCTACTAAAGGAAGTAAAGAAAAGCTATTTTTTTTGTAATATGGAGATGTCCAAATACATTGGAAATAGGAATTTATTTTTTTGAGCTGTTAATATAAAATCTCCATACTATTAATAGTGCTACATACATACAAGTTAACTCTTATTGTCTTTGAAGTAACAGGCCATTGAAATTCACAGAAAAGCCTAGACCTGGAGTTCAGATGCTTTGTTCTTCTTTTAGCGTTGGTAAGTATGTGATATACTAAAGCCGAATGTGTTTGTACTAGTCACTTTTATACTTACCCAACCTCAGAGAATACATACGTATGTATGTATGTACGTACGTACATACATACATAATTATTTTCTGTCCCCAAATCAGGTACTATGTTTCTTTGTGTTGAAATAAAATTGTTTGAACTCAGTAGACGTCTGTGTAGGTATACGCTGAATTGGACAATGAATAATCCAAATCTTCTTAGACTAATTGACAAGTTTTTCACTGAAGACTTTAAAAAATATTTCCAGAAATAGGATTAGATACAATTCAAGATAGCTTAAGAGAACCTATTACAATCAGGACAAATTGGTTAACGAACCTATCAACTTCTTTAAAAATAATCCAATTTATTCTGGTTCCAGTCCATCGTTTACATTTGTTTCCTTTCATTGTTTTAAGCAATTTCTAATTTTTTTTAGGTGGAATGTTTTTAGTAACTGGAAGTACTGACCATGTTATCAGAATATATTATTTCGGTTCTGAAACTCCTGAAAAAATTGCAGAACTAGAGAGCCATGCTGTAAGTAATGTAATATTAAATTTGCCATAAATTCACATTTTAATAGAAAACATTTTATCTCACAATTCAGGTTGAAGTAATTGGTATAATTAGATGTAGAACAAGTAGGATTTATTTATTTCTTATAAAGAAGTTTAACCATGCATTCACGATCATAATGTCCTTAACTTGAAAATAGTCTATGGTTAATAGGACTTGCTTTCATATAGACAACAGAATGGGACGTAGAGGAGATCTCAAGTGTTAAGGGGTTAAGAATTGTATTTGCATCGCTTTGGGTTTGGAGTTTAATTACTGTTAAGAGCAACTGAACCACAAAATGCTGCACTTTGTACTGTTTGAAAGTAGAAGTCAGCTTAGCTTTTTTAGAAAAAATAAATTTGTGATAAGATGTAATAATACAGCAAATGCTAGCTAATATTAGAGACCATTGCTGTTGGGTGGCCAATATGTTTCAATAATAATAATAATAACAACAACAACAACTCCGCCGTGGCCGGTCCCAAGCCCGGATGAAAAAGGAGGAGGGTTGGGGTCAGGTTGGCATCTGGTCCCGTAAAAAAACCCCGCCAACCCATACAATATGGTGA